CCTCCCCTCCCCTCCCCTTCCCTTCCCTTCCCTCCTTCTTTCATACTGGGGATTGAACGCAGGGGTGCTTAACCACTGAGCCACATCCCCAGCCCTTTTTAATACTTTGTTTACAGGGTCTTGCTCAGTTGCTCAGGGCCTCGCTAATTTGCTGAGGCTGGCTTTGAACTCATGATTGCCTCTAACATATTGTTTCTTATATTATGTTTGAATTTTCCAACTTTCTGTTTCTCTATGTTTTCTTTTACTGTCAAGTACTGAATTTCAGGGAATTCTCTTAGTTATCCATCTCTTTGATGAGCAGCCTTCCTGCTTTTTATTTCTGTTGCTAAGGAGCTACTGGGAGGTAAACCTTTTCTATAATCTTCCATCTCCTACTACCAATATCCTGTATTTTTATTGTCAATTCTGACAAACCTGAAAGTATGATGTTTGTAAAAATTTCCCATTCATGAGAGATTTATTTTTTACTGTTGATTGTCTTCAGCTGTTATAGTACAAATCTGGTTCAGGTGGCTTTTATTTTTCCTCATTGATATCCTTCAAGATTATCTTTGACAACTATCAATTTTTGTAAGTCTGGCATCAGCAGGGAGGGTGAGAACAACTTTTTTCATCATCTAGATATCTGCATTTAGTTAGTTATTTATGATGTTTTGTTCAGTTTTCAACTTAGCCCCATAAATGATGTGATTGTAGACTTAATTCCTTAGGAATATTTTAAAAATCATTAATACCTTTCTACATCGAAACTTAGAATTGAGACCTGTATAATTGTTTGATCTTCTTTGAAAACTTAAACTTTGACTATTTTCATTTTCCCCAATACAATCTGTGCCCAGTTACTATGTATGCCAACCTGTGTTCAGAAATGAGTATTGTTGCCATCCTTTAATTACATTTCTGACTCATTGGGAATTTTTCATAATCATACAATAGTAGAAATTAGTTTTTGAACCTTGCACATGGATAAATAACCTATCTGGAAGTTATATTTCATTTTAAAATGTCAAAGTCTCTGATCTGCAAAATTATACCTTGAAATGTTCTTTCAAATGCCATCCCATCAAAAGCACGAAAGTAGAGATTTATCTCAAACTATTATTTTACATTTAAAGACTCATCTTAAGAAATTTACCACTTTTAGAGATAAAATATCCTACAAACTGGAAAGAGAAATGCTCTTACAGACATAATTCTTCTAAATTTGTGAAAACAACTAAAATGATAAACACTATGTGCCCTACACTACATGCTCCATTTTAAGAGGAAAAAGGAAAAAAAAAAGAAAAACCTAGTAAAACCCAGCAGAAGGTCCAGAAATGCCAATAACTTTTACTTATAAATTGAAATCTGTAATCTTAAGAATTTACTACAGCAGAGTCTTAATTTGTCCTAAGAGCCATAAAACAGATAAAATTCTGTTACAATCTTTGGGGGAAAAAAAAAAACCTTCCTCTGTGACTCAGGATCAAGGTCTTTTTGCTATTTTTTAAAAAGCTATCATCAGGTGGTTCTAATACATTTCCCAACACAGCCAATTATTTTTTAAGAAACTCAAAATGTTAGCTGTACTTTCCTAGCTGCAATTGCATCCTTGATTACTGGAATTAGTGTATTTTATGCGTTCCTTCACATTAAGCAATAACAGGTTTGTTTTGTAGGTTTAAAATTTATAGTTTTGAATTGCCTTGTAATACTTAAATAGTTTTGAAGATATTTGTGGAACAGGAATGACATTCTTACATATAGACATTTTAAGAATATTAGACCAAAAGAAATTAAAGTTTCATCTGAAGGAAATGATCTGAAATGCTTGTGAAAAATCACAAAAATACAAAGATATTTTTACCAATATCTTTAAAAAATTTTTTTTTCACTTGGCTTTTGAAGAAGAAAATCATTCCATTTTGTTCAGTTAAAGCACAGAGAAGCTCTAAGTCTGAAAAAAAAAATATCAAATGGAGTCAGTAAGTGAAAGTTTATGTGGAGTGTCATTCAACTGCTGAGGCAGATGTTAGAGTCCCTGACCTCTTCAGACATCTGTGACCCCATATGAATTCAGCTATAATGAAATGAACTAAAGTAGCTCATAGTTTTAGATAGAGCCTTAACTCCAGAGGGGTCAAAGTAACATGATACATTCCCTATCATTTGATGATCACTATAAAGCTATATTGCTAAATGCCCCATGAGACCTTTCTTTATACAACTAGTAATATGCTACACTGGAGCTCACCCTCTACACTTTCATCCCTGCCCTACTATTTGTAGGAGGACAGAAATCAAAACTGATCTGTCCCTCCCTCTAGTTCACTTAACTGAGAATTTAGGCACTGGAAAAATAAACGGGTCCTTTTTTTTTTGACCAGAAAGTAGAAATTCTCAGTCTCAATGTATAAGTAATGTCATCTTAAAAGCAGTTAACAGAGTTCTAAGAGATATTTAGGTTGACTTTCTTTGGTTCTTCACTATTCTGTACTCCTCTTCCATCATTTCTCTTTCATTTTCTCTACTCCTGTTTCCAGTTTTCCCATTTGGGGAAGAATATTTGATGTATAAAAATAGAAATGAAATCGAATGTGTCTATGGACTTTCTTGCTCTGACCACTTATTTCTGCTGCCTCCAGGCACCGAAGGAGCAGTATTTGGGCACTCGGTGGAGACACCTCATGTCAGAGCAGAACCATCTCAAGATCTCAGGTAAGTAAGTGTCCTTCTCACCCCTGTGCTGTAGTTTCCATCAATAGTGGTTGTCCTTGATATACGAAGAACTGAAATAGTGTATTGCTATGTACTCATATGACACTTCCTAGTTCTGTACTAAATAGTCAAGTATTTGAACAAAGGGAATAAAATGTAAATTATTTTAACAACTTCCTTATTTTCTCCTAATATGATTGCAATGAAAATGTAACGTGGAAAATGTATGTGGAAAAGAAGAAGACAATTATTGAGGAAGTTGAGAGAATGACTGATAAAATATAAGGATGTTAAAAAATCTGATACAGATAATGGCATAAAGACACAAATGGGCATAGAATTAGAGAAAGCAGAGACCAGGTGAGGATTCTAAATGACGAGGCAGTATCATACAGAGGGGGGATACATAAAGGAATGGGAATCATTATCAGAAAAAGAACTCATGACCTATGATGGGTCCCTCAGTCTAGCCATTTCCAGTAAAATAAGCTGCTTTCTATTATCATGCTGCTTCTAAGAGACACAGTTACATATAAGATCTTTTCCTACCCAGGACATTGTGGGATGTCAGCCTCACAGGGAATTATCCCCAAGATCATCACAATAACTGCCAATGAAAATTGAAATTTAAAAATTGAGGCAACCGCTCCATATATATCATTAATTCAATAAATAGGTTAACATTTGGGAGTTGATAATTATTTGTGTAATTAATATATGACAGGTAAATAAAATTCCTAGTTGTTACAGTATTTTTATTTTTAAAATTCAAAATAATAATACAAACAAGAAAAAGAAGTTGCATTTAAGTTAGATAACCGTATCTTTTTTAGAAAACATAATGAAAATATTAAAAAAACTTACTTCATAAAGACTGTTGTTTAGCTGTGGATAAGCAGAAAAATGTTCAAATAAAAACAAAATAGAAAATTTTCATGAAGAAAGCATAATTTTAAAATAATAAATTTGCAGACTTTTATAGTTCTCTGCTAAGATTTCCTAAAGAACTCAGTTTCTCACTAATTGAGAAACTCAGATTCAATAAACTAGTGAGCAGTATCAGGAGAAGGCCCACTTGATGTGATCCAAATCTTGCTTTATAAGCACAAAACAAAAATTAGTTATTCTCTACAAAAACCAGAAGGATTGAGGAGTGTTGAGGGACATATGTAACAGTGTCTCATAATATACTGTAGTGTTGATCTATAGATCCTTCTCAATCAGGAATTCTTTTATCCCTCTTCACCTATCAAGGTTGTGCATTCCATTAAAATAGGATCTACATATTTATTCTGTATCTTTAGAACTATCGTAGTCACTGATATATTTCATATATAATAATTTGATAATTTTTTTGAAAAATTTACTTACTTTACCAAAGCAAAACTGAATAGTGGAAAAACCTAAATAAATGTGATATAAGGAATATGGCAGTTATAGGACATGTGGTTAGCACCGATAACAATTACTTTTGGACTCTTTTAATATAGACTTTAGTCCCAGAAAGATATGTACCACATGCCCCGACTCATATATGAATATAAAAAGTTAATCTCATAAAAACTAAGTACAAGAACCTGGGGACAATAAAGGGAGAAAGGGATAGAGGGAATATTGTTAAGTGGGTACTGAGTTATGGTTATGAATAAGAAACACAGTTATACTATTGCATACTAGGATGAATACAGGTAGCTATACACAATATATTCTTAAAAGCTAGAAGAAAGGTGTTTGAATATTTTAACTATAAAGAAACAATAAATAAGAAAACAGATATGTTTAACCTGAATTTACACACTGAACAATGCATCCACATATTGAAATATCACATGGTACCTCATCAATATGTGTTAATTTTTTGTTTTATATATGTTAAAAAGAACTGAATTTAAATTTAAAAAATAAAACAAAGACTTTCAACTTCATAAGTTATGTCAGAGTTTAATAATTCAATTTTTAAAAAATATTCTAGGTTCTAAAACAAACACTTATATTGCTTTCATAACTGTGTACTCATTTTACAAATTTTACTATGAGAAGTCTATTACTAAAAGAGGAATAAGAACCAACTCGCTGTTTGAATTATCTTGCTGACATGTCTCCAGATTCATAAGGGTGAATATGAATTAAATTCTAATTATAATATGTGTTTCTGGTTTTTATTTTCTAATCATTCATCCATTTTAAACCTTGAGCTGGGCTAAGCTTATCGTCTACTGCTAAAAGCAGATTGACAACCCCCAAGATGAGGGTTACTAATCTAAATTCCAAAACTGAAACAGAAGCAAAATACAGTAATGATTGGGGTACTCAATTATTCATTTGTGTACTGCAGATTAAAGCAGAGTGTCTGAGAAGGTCTTTACAAGCCTTGCTGACAATTTTCTGTTCAGGGAAATAAAGAGTACTCTTGTTCCCACCTAATGCTAAACAAGGTGAGATGGGTCAACCAAGTAAATAGTTGGTGGAATAATAGCTATGTTGTCTTAAGTTTTATAATCATTAAGAATAAAAGACTTCAGAAAAGAACATTTCAAGAGCTTGTAATAAAATGTAGAAAATACTTTGAGCTGAGTTCAGTATAATCCTAATGGTTTGGGAGGCTAAGGCAGGAGGATGGCTTGTTCAAAGCCAGCCTCAACAACTTAGCCAACACGTAAGCAACTTAGAGAAACATGTAAATAAAGAGAGCTGGGGATATGGCTCAATGGTTTAAACATCCTGAGGTTCAATCCCTGGTATAAAAAAAAATTGTAGAAACATGGATTCCTATGATTTGCTTGTTCAACACATTTCATTTCTGATGAATATCGAATGTGTGCCAAATTTTGTGCCAGGGTTCATGAGCACAAAGTTGTTGTAGATTTTCTTTGATTTATCATATAAAACAATATTGTTTTGTGGTGGGGAGGGGTCTATAATTTCAAAGGCTAAAAAAATACATGCTGAAGAGTTGAAAAGGGCATACAAGTCTATTTGCCAGAAGTACTCCAATTATTACGATCCTTCCTTTCTTAATTTCTTAAGTTAACATGTAGTTAAATTATTATAGTTCAAAGACTTTCTGTACCTATGGTGAGAAGAGATGAAGCCCATTATGTAACTCTCATCACCCAAAGACGGCTTGGATCTGAGATCTATTAACCGTTCCAACAAAAAGGAAAGAAGCTGTACTTGGAATGTGTAATATTAATTAATATTTGATCTTATAATTGGCATCTCTAAGTCATTCTCATTCTTGTATGAACATAATTTAGAAGTGAAATGCTAATGTTTTCAGAATCCAAATTAATATCTGAAAATATATAACTCTAGCTTATATTAATACTATATTCAAGAAAGGCCAACATTTATTCAGTCAGTACTAACTATTTTGCCCTGATGCATTCTGCCAATGGTAGTATAAATTGTTTTACTGGTATCTTTCTACCTATAAGAAAATAAATAAGTAAACACACACACATGCACACGCAGAGAGAATAAGCTAGTATATTTCTTTTCTCCTACTTTCTCTTTGTACCCTTTCTTTCCTTTCTTCTTCTCTCCCCACCTCCCCAGTCTCTCTCCTTCTCCTTTCTTCTTCCCTTCTATTATTTCATTCTAAGTATGTATTTATATATTTATCTAGAATTAACAAATGAGCATTATGAGAAGCTTAATTTAGTTTGCAAACTATGGCGCACAGAGCAACAATCAAGAAATATGTGTAATCTACCTTGAAGAAAGACACGCAATGGGAGGTATGAGTGAGCAGAAAACAATAAAAACAAAACAAATCATGTGATTTGCTCCTGAAGAAAGCTAACCATACATAGTCTGAAGTAACAAGTTATTGCTCTTCTTTTATGTTCAAGTCACAGTTTGCATTAATTTTGATGTCACTGTTTTTCTTGACATAGTTTTCTGTTCAGTACATTCCATTCCATCATTGACACTGCAAATTATTAATGGGTGCCTACTGTGTCTATTGCACTGTATTAAATATTTAGCAAGAACAAGATGCTTGATACTCAAGTTCTGCTCAAGTTGCCATTTGCAAGTTAGTTTTAAAAAGTGTGAATTCTTTTGTTCAGAATGTTGAGAATGTTTTCTGGAGAAACAGGCCATATAAGTTTTCAGATTTGATCATTGCATAACACCTTAAAAACAAAATCTCATTGGGATTCTAGACTGATTTCAGAATCCAGAGTAGGAAAAAAAAATGAGCAGAAAAATATTACTACAATGACTACATTTTGCACAATTTAGTGCTTGCAAAATTCTTGTACACATAGTTGCCATTGGGTGATCACATTATCATCACAGAAAGGCTCAGAAATTCTAGCAGATTGCAGGTACAAGCCCACCTTCTCTACATATCAACCTGTGTACACAAATAGATGGCCTTGTGTTTTTTTACAATTGTAGTGTTTTTGTTTTCTCTTTTGGTGTGTGAAGATCTATTTTAGTAGTCTTTTGTATTTTTAATATGTTCCTGATATATTTTTCAGATACATTCAAAGTGCTTTCTCATAAAAAATATTGGCTATAATTTTTTCTGTAAAAAATTATAATTATACATATAAATTAATCTATACAAATAATTATATATGCCTGAATACACATTTTATGCATATGTACCTCTTATTGTTTTCCTTTTTTTATCTTCTGGGCTTTCTGTCTTCTTTCAGAAGTTATTCTTTCTAGACTTACATATTTCCTGTGACTTTTTACAATTTTTTTGTAATTTATTTTAAACAGTTATTTATTCATTTCTTAGTTTTTTATTTGAAATAAAGAAAATTAAAAATCATTTCCTTCTAATTTTATTAAAATTACACTTTGTAATTTATTATTTCAATATTTTGATAGGTAAAATTAAAAATTATTTTTCCAGAATATGTTAAGAATAGAACTTTATTTTCTGCAATTCAGATAATCAATGTATTAAGCATAATTTGTTAAATAATATAATGTTTCTACCCTGAAATAATTATTGCATTTTTCAGATTTTAATTTCT